GCATTACTCATATAACAGGAATCCCATACAATCCACAGGGACAAGGCATAGTTGAAAGAGCTCATCAAACTATTAAAATGTACTTATTAAAGCAAAAAGAAGGAATTGGGAAGGGGTATATATTCCCCAAAGATAAACTTAAAATAACCCTTTTTACTCTAAACTTTTTAAATTTGGATTCATCAGGACAGTGCTGCGGAAAGGCATATGTGTCCAAAAAATGTACATAAGCCCAAGGTACTTTGGAAGGATATTCTAACAGGAGAATGGAAAGGTCCTAACCCAGTAATTGTCTGGAGTCGGGGGTCTGTTTGTGTGTTTCCACAGGGAGAACAGCAGCCGATTTTGATTCCAGAGAGATTAACCAAGGTCCTGACCCAGTGATTGTCTGGAGTCGGGGGTCTGTTTATGTGTTTCCACAGGGAGAACAGCAGCTGATTTGGATTCCAGAAAGATTAACTAAAGCAATTTCTACAGACCAAAAAGAAGATGATTTGGCTCAAATCCATAACAACTGATATCCAAAACTCCAGTTTGGCTATTCTTACATCTGCAACAGAACCAGGATGCTTTTTTCAATATCTATTTTATTATTGCCCTTTGCCATATCATGAAGTTCTATTTTGTTTTTTGAGCTCATACAGACTTAGGTTAATGTTTTGCTGATCAGTTCTATTTTATGACTATAGAGTTTTTAAACATTGCAATGGAGATTTCACCTGTAAAAAGTTATAAGGCCTTTACTATAATGTTATGTGTTGTATGTATTATATTATGTGTGCACACTTGTGTTTTGTGTTATATGTTTGAATGTATGTATGTCCATATATCATATATGATGAGCGCTCATGATAAAATGGATCCAAATATTTTTTTTCACGTGATTTATATGGTTTAATTTAAATTGGGTAAACAACTGTTGAGGATTGTTTTAATATGTAAACAAAAAAGAAGGTTAACAGATCTGTTTGTTTACTTTCACCTTTCCTTTCCATTATATTTAATAATTCTCTTAAAGATAATGTAAATTGTTAAGAAAATTGTTTTCTTTTAGTGCCTTCTGTAATGTTACATAATTTTTTCTTTAGCCATTATTGCCAGAATTCCTATCTTCATCCCAGTGCCAGTGAAGACAATGTAAATTGTTAAGAAAATTGTTTTCTTTTAGTGCCTTCCGTAATGTTACATAATTTTTTCTTTAGCCATTATTGCCAGAATTCCTATCTTCATCCCAGTGCTGGTGAAGTCAAAGATAAAACCAATCTACAGCTTCTACAATAGCCATCACTGAACTGCTTGCAGAACTTGCCTGGACACATTGTGAGCTCACCTGTATGCATTGTGAACTATCTGTTGGTGCAGCGACTTGTGGTAGTGTTGGGGTATTTTTGCTGATGATGTCATTGGTGGTACAATTTTTCCAAAAGGAGCCGTCAATTGGCTTGGTGTATCTTCCTCCCTTCTGCTTGCCATGATCATCCAGCTAAAATTTGGGGGCCAACAGAGGTGAGGCAAAGAACCTCACCCCCCCGCTGGTACAAAGACCTCTCCACAGGTGTGGCTGTATACTGGACCGGTAGTCAGTGACGGGTAAGATCCAATTGTAATGGTACCAACCTAAGGACCATATGTACTATTGGACAACCTAAGGCAGGCACGGTCCCTAAGCCACATGCTTGTTGTTTAAACAGAGAGGGGGAGATGTTGAGAGCCACAGCCAAAGGGGCCCCAGCAAACTTCCAGCTGCCGGCTGATGATTGGCTCACAGCGGCCCCAGCAACATCTAGCTGATTGGCTCCTCTGCGGTGATGCTCATTGGGCTGTTTCCCTGCCCTTTCAGACCACGGAGCTGCTCATTGGGGGACTTTTTTGGCTCCGCCCACGTGACCCAGCCAATCGGCCTCAAGAGCAGGAGGATTGTGGGAGGTGGGGAGAAGCTTGTGTGGGAGAGAGAGGCTTGTGGAAAGCCGGTGGTGGCAGTTGAGGCTCTGAGGGTTTTTCCTGAGAGGCTGTTTTGTTTGGCGTGTGTGGTTCTAAAAATAAAGTTAGTTTCTTTTGACAAGTGGCTCCTGATTGTGCCCAGCCAGACTGCGGCACTTTGGTGTGTTTATTGAGCAGTCAGAGACAGTTTAACTCACTAGTCAAACATATAAGCTTTGGCCTGGTTGAACTCCCAGTTCTGGTTCTACAACCTGCCAAGTGTTTTAACTTTAGGCAAGTTTATCAGTGCTTAGCACAGTGCCTGGCATCTTGTGAGAGCTATTTTAAAAAGGTGGGGGGGGGGGTACTGGGGATGTAGCTCAGTGGTAGAGAGCTTGCCTAGCACGTGTGAGGCACTGAGTTCAATCCTAAGCACCACATATAAATAAACAAAATAAAGGTATCGTGTCCATCTACAACTATAAAAATATATTTTTTAAAAAGGCAAAGCTAGTATTATTGAGCATCTATTCATTTAGATACTACAGTACCACTTTTCCCTAACAGTTCTATAAAGTAGATACTTTTGTTATCACCAATTCATAGATGAGAAGATTGAGGCACAGAAAGATTAGTTAACTTGTTTAAAGAATGGAAGACAGTCTATCTGACGCCAGACCAGAGTTGCAAACACAATTTTATCCTGCTAGTCTCTTGAAATAGACAGAACACTAACTGTGCCTGAACACTTTAGAAGTCAGACTAAGAGGCATACTGACCACAAGTCTATCAAGAAATTTTAGGGGCTCCACAAGGTCTTCTATGGCATAGTCTGGCTGTGGTTGTGGTGGTGACTGACTAGGGTGAATTTCTGATCATCAGCCATATAGGTTTAGAAATCCAATCTGCTGTCGGGTGCAGTGGCACACACTTACAATCCCAGCTAATTTGGGAGGCTGAGGCAGGAGAATCATAAGTTTAAGGCCAGTCTCAGCAATTTAGCAAAATCCTGTTAAAAAAAAATTAAAAGGACTGGGGATATAGCTCAGTGGTGGGGTGCCCCTGAGCTCAATACCCAGTCCTGTACACATACAAACGATCCAATCTGCTGATACATAGATTATGGATTCCTAATATATAGATTGTAGATTTATCTCTCAAAGCAGACTCAAGTTCCCAGAGGCTGATATTCAAAATTAAACTACCATTTTATTCATAAAATTATGAGTAGAAATAGAAAGAAATATAGGGGCCAAGTGCCATAACACTCATGTCCTATGACCAGCACTTGGAAAGTCAGATGGTCAGAGTAGGTTGCTTGCAGAGCACAAAATCAAAAACAAGGGCATTTGTTTATTTGTAGGAAGTCTGTTTTATGTTATGAATATTTATAGGTCATGATAGAATCAGACCCATCCAACTCTGAATCAGCAATTTACTTTCCTCCAAAATGAGAGTTCAGTGCAACCTTTCATCTAAGAATCCTTGGATAAACAGCACCCGCAGTTGCTCTAAGACCCTGTTTCTTCCTGAGCTTTCAGGGCTCAGCAGCCCTGCTCCTGACTAATTATGTTCTTTCTTGAATTTATATTATTGTTTTTTTCAAGTTACAGCATAATCTTACTGGCCATGTAGCTATTCATCCTCTTTACTAAAACTTTGAATAACTATACTTTGATCCATTGTGCATTGATTTTAAGATTCAAATCTGAAAGGGCAACTTTAGTTCCAAGCTCTTGGTGGGGGGTCTTCTCACTGAGGCCCTAAAGTACTAACAGCAACAACTGGAGACAGCACCCCTCTGGTAGAAGCTGCTTTCTCGTTTCTGAAGGTTTTGCCTATTTGGCTCTCCAGCTTCAGAAATAGAGACTGTCGCCATCAGATTTTCACCCGTCTACTGAAAACTAAAGGATAACAAACACTGTTTCTGTAGCTACTGAAGAGACAGACTGCTTGGACAGAGATTTAGATGGCTCTGTAGACTCCCTAGCTGTGCCAGCTCTGGGGGAGTCAGTCCACACAGCGTGAAGCAATTTTGTTTCTTGGCTCTTTGCCATAAATCCAGGCAGTTACAGCAGCAGCAGCAGTTCTTACTCCCATGCAGAGCTTCCAGAAGGCCTGGGTTCTCCGGCTGATAACAACTAGTGAAAGAGAAGCTTAGGAGTCCTACCAGTTAGAGCAGCCAAGACTTAGAGGAGGACAGTTGCTCCTAGAAACCATGGACCCAGGGTCACTACAGAGCTTAAAGTCAAAGTCAGGCTGCTCCACTGCCTGCATATGCCACACAACACCTTTCACAGCAGATCACAGGGAAGAATGGCACAGAATAACTCCTCTCCCCTTCTCTTCTCAGTACTTCCAGGGTACAGGCAATGCTGGGGGTGCAGAATTTTTCCAGCACTATTGGGCCACCACACTGGGACAGCACAATGAGAATGGAAGCCCCTGCCTCTCAAGGCCCACTTTTCAGCTCCTTTTTGCAGGATGGAGAGAATCACAAGTAGACTCAAAGCTCCTGGTGTGCAGACAGAGAACACTGGATATATCTGATTAGCCACAGCCTCCCTCTGGAGAGATCTCTTGATGATGCTAGGAGAGAGGAATAGGGCTGATCAGGGCAGTCAAACTAAAACTGCTGATTCTCTTCACTGAAGGCCAACCAGGTCACTCAAGATACCAGGATTTATTATCATACCCCACCTAGGTCTAATAAGTACACTTTAAAATCAATTTTCCGCTGGTGTTCAGAGGTTAACTGAGTAGGAAGCCTTGGCTCCTTTTTGACTCCAGATTCTTGTAAGAGGTCTGAACTTTCCCCACTGTGCACTCCCATCTTGTCTTTTTTTTTTTAAGAAAATATTTTTATTAGTTGTTGACGGATCATTCTTTCTTTATGTATGTATTTACATATGGTGCTGGGGATGGAACGCAGAGCCTCACACCTGCTAGATAAGTGCTCTTCCACTGAGCCACAACCCCAGCCCCCATCTTGTCTTAATCAGCCCTACCTACTGAGGTAGATTCCAGATCTTTCTCCCATATCTTTGGCTTGGCATAAGTCTCTCACCCCTCTGCTGTGGAATCTAAAAGCAGGGAGATGGCCAAAATAGGCAGTCAGGGAAGAGCACAGGCATTCCTATTGCATCTGCTCAGTCTCTCAGCAGTCCTCATGTCAGGGAGTCTCCCTGGGTTACCAGCTAGGGCCAGAGAGGGTCACCTCTTCTCACTCACTGTGTGAAAACAGGATGAGACACAGTGCAAGGTCTCTCAGAGGGTGTCTGCTAAGTGCTGAAAGTCAGATATAACCGGCGTTGAATATGGGTGTTCTCCATGGCTCCATTCACCATGTAGTACCTCAGAGGCATTCCCTGGGTTGGTTTGAGCTAGTTGGATGACTATGCACCCAAGATTCCTTGACCTTTCTTTGGTTGTCACTGGCTTTCAGAGGACTGGCCCTTCGTGACTACCACAGGTAACTGCTATTGTTTTGTTTTTCCTAACACTTAGCTAGCATACCTAGTGTTCTTCAACAAAAACAGGCAAAAATGACAGGCTATCACTTTAGCAAGACTTGGTTGATTCAATGAATAGCTGATTAAAAAATATTTGTTGAACATTGGTATGGCACAATGTACTACTTGGTGACGTGAAGAGTAATAAGAAAATAGAAGATGGGTGTGGTGGCACACATTTGTAATTCCAGAGACTCTGGAGGATGGGGCAGAAGGATCATAAGTTTGAGGCCAGGCTCAGCAATTAAGGGAGACCCTGTCTCAAAATAAAAAATAAGCCAGTTATGGCTGTGCATGCCTGTAATCCTAGCAACTTGGGAGGCTAAAGCAGGATGACAGCAAGTTAAAGGCCAACCTCAGCAAATTAGCAAGGCCCTGAGCAACTTAGCAAGATCCTGTCTCCAAATAAAGAGGGCTGGGGATGCAGCTCAGTGGTAGAGCTCCCCAGGTTCAATTCCCAGTATTCAAAAATTAAAAAAAAAAAAAAAAAAGTAAATCGAAATTAAAAAAAAGAAAACAGAGTTGGGTGTGGTGGCTCAAGCCAGCAATTCTAGCTATTTGGGAGGATGGCAGGAGGATTGCAAATTTAAGACCAGCCTGGGCAATTTAGTGAGACTTTGTCTCAAGATAAAATTATAAAAAAAGGCTAGTGGTAGAGTACTTGCTTAGCATATGTGAGCCCCTACAACAGATCCCATGTACCACAAAGAAAAAGGATTCTCTCCCTCATAAATAAACAAATAAACACACACACCCCTTTTGTCCTTCTGTGGATCAAACCCAGGGTCTCATGTGCATGTTAGGTGAGTGCTGTACATCTAGCCCCTGGGAAGCTACATCCTAAAAGAAACATAAGTGTACACCCAAATCACTGTAACATAAAATGAGGATAGAGAAAGGACAGGTTACTGTTGTAGTTACTGCATCTAGTTAAGTTGAAGGAGAGCATTTTCATTTAGCAGGCCATCAGGCAGATGCTTCTTGATCTCCTGGGGTAGCCTGATTCTGTTTTTGCATGAAGCCAACACCAAGGTTAATAAAGGCTATTGTAACATATTAAACACCGCAAAGTAAATACTTAGTAATGCCCTATGTGCTTGTATCAGGAGCTCAGTGTGTAATCCCTTTCTTTTAAATTAGTAAAATGGGTTGGCTGCCAATCACTTCCCTTAAGCAAAAAAAAAAAAAAAGCAGAAGTTGCATTTCTCTTCCCTGTTCCTCAGGGCAACTAGTACAAGAACAAACAGGGTTCAGTACCAGGAATAAAGTTGACTCATACGCTTAGGCTTTCTCTCCTTTTAGAACACATTGATTGAAGACTTGGAATGGGATGACATTCATTCTCATAGGGAAACACATGAAGTGGCCAAAGGAGAGTGGTACGAAGACTACAGGGAATATGAGGTGAAGAAAGAGGAAGAAGTGGCCACTGCACTGGTTTTTTGTTTTGGTTTTGGGGTGTGTGGTTGTTTTTTTTTTTTTTTTTTTTTGTACTGGGGATTGAACTCAGGGGCACTGAACCACTGAACCACATCCCCAGCCTTTTTTTTTTTTCTTTTCTTTTTGTGGTGCTGGGGATTGAACCCAGGACCTTATGCGTGTGAGGCAAGCACTCTACCAACTAAGCTATACTCCCAGCCCTTCCCCAGCCCTTTTTATTTTTTATTTAGAGACAGGGTCTCACTGAATTGCTTAGGCCTCCTTAAATTGCTGAGGCTGGCTTTGAACTCACATTCCTCCTGCCGCTGGGATTATAGGCATGTATCACCACACCCAGCCTACTGCACTGGTTTTTGTTTTGTTTTGGTACTGGGGATTGAACCCAGGATGCTCAACCACTGAGCAACATCCCCCAGCCCTTTTTATTTTTTATTTTGAGACAGGGTCTCACTAAGTTGCTTAGGGCCTCACTAAGTTACTGAGGCTGACTGCAATCTTTCCATCCTCTTGCCTCAGACTCCTGAGTTACTGAGACTGATTACAGGTGTGGACCACCATGCCCTGCTACTTCAGGTTTTGACAAAGTCTCTTCATCTCAGAAGAAAGACTCTTCTGGGAGGATCATATTTCAAACAGAAAGCTGAGGATGAATAGAAATCATACATATTCCAAACTTCCTAGGAAAAGGCAGTAAGTTGTAATAACAAGAATAGTACCAGTACATAGTTCACAGGTCTAGAAAACTTATAAACAAATTCTATAGAGGGCCAGGCATGGTGGCACATGCCTGTAATTGCATCAGCTCAGGAGGCTGAGGCAGGAGGATCTCAAGTTCAAAGCTACCTTCAGCAATTTAGCAAGTTCCTGTCTGAAAAATAAAAAAATAAAAAGGGCTAGGGATGTGGCTCAGTGGTTAAGCTCCCCCTAGATTCAATCCTTGGCACCTCACCTGTGGCCCAAAAATAGTCTATAAAGTATAAATTCTAAGAATTAGCTGTAAAGAGAGGAGGTGGACCTTTCCCAAGGTAGGAGTCTCAGTGGTGCCACTGAGTAACCTCGGGCCAAGAGATGAGAACTAAAACCCAGGAGAAGTAGTCCAAGGTACATGAAAGATTTGTAAGGGGTAGAGACATATATTTTCCATACATTCACTTTAAAAATGGTGACATGAGCCAGTGTGGTAGTGCACTCCTGTAATCCCTGCGGCTCAGGGGGCTGAGGCAGGAGGATCACAAGTTCAAACCCAGCCTCAGCAACTGAGCAAGGCCCTCAACAATTTTGCAAGACTCTGTCTCTAAATAAAAAATAAAACTGGGCTGGGGATATGCTTAGTAGCTAAGAGCCCCTGGGTTCAATTCCCCAGTGCAAAATAATAATAATAATAATAATAATAATAATAATAATAATAATAATAACGTGAACAAAAAGGGGGAAAACTAAAATAGGCTCTTGGCTTCCTACGTAGGAGTAACATTGATATCTCCCTCCACTGAGTTCTTACACATTTTTTCCCCTGAATTATGTCTTTGTTATCTCTTCTACTATTCATAATTGTCACTGAAGCCTGTACTTGCTATTTAAATATTCATGTGTTTGTTATATAAACTATATCAACTCAAGGGCAACTGTCATGTTTCATACCTTTGTTGGCAACTATCTCAGTGCCTGCTCTCATTAAGTCATTAAAAAATGTTGTTTGATTTGAAATTATAGGAGATTTGGACTTCAAGGGTCAACAGCTGCAAGGTCTGTCAATCCATAGGTCTGGCCAAGAATTTCCACGAGGCAAAGCAACATTTGGCAATGACAAGGGCATTCCAGTGAAGTGAAGAGGAGTGTCAGATTTTGCAAGAGTTCTGCAAATAAAATAGATTTTCTGGAGTGGCTGGGTTCTTTGAAAAACATGTGCTGAATATCTGGGTTCTCACCTTTACGGACATCAGAGAAGATATTATCTCCACCAGATTTAAATAGGAAGAGGTAACATTAATAAAATTTCTGAGCATACATGGCATTATGCTAGGTATTGGGCATGCAGAATATTTCAAAAAGTAAGACACCATTACATCACTACTGCCCTTAAGCTTAAAATCTCAATGGGGAGTCAATATGCCTGTACAAAAAATAATCAGAGGATGATGTTAATTTTATATTGAATTACAAATTAAACACGACAGCATTGCTTTCCTAAAGAAGAAAGCCTTGAGAGCAGTCTTGGGAGTCCCCAAATTTCTGTGGAGCTTTGCTCCTCAATCTTTTAGACATTTGAAACATAATAAAGTTCATTGTTTTAACCCCTCACTCCATCCGACCTTGCCTATTAATAATTCAAGATAGCATTTCATTTGCCCAGTATAACAGTGTGCTTCATATCTCTCTAGTCTCTAAATAGTCTCTTGGATCTGTAATCCTAACTTCCATATTAAGATTCACTTCAGGGGCTGGGCTGTAGCTCAGTGGTATAATAGCAATTGCCTAGCACGTGTGAGGCACTGGGTTCGATCCTCAGCACTGAATAAAAATAAATAAATAAAATAAAGATGTTGTGCCCATCTACAGCTAAAAATAATTAAAAGAAAAAAAAAAGATTCACTTCATTTCATGAACTTTAATTCTCCCTACTAGAAGAACATGCAGAGGCTAAGTCCTTTTCCGAGCATCAGTCTCAAAGGTAATCTGGCTTTGGTGTGTGGGGGCGGGGGCGAGGTTTCTGCCTTATACATAATTAACTAGTACTAGAGTTCTTGCCAGTAATTCTCTCATTAATAAAGTTACAGCCCTCAAAACTATCTATTACTAGTATCTCTGGTTTCTACGACCAGATTTTTGAATGTCAATTTTCAGTACATCTGAGTCTGTACAAATTGTCTAATGCCTGTTTAAATCAATACCCTGAATTTTGTATTCATTTTGGACTTCTAACTTCCAGAACCAGGGCAGAAAGTAAAAAAGTAAAACTTTTTGCCATGGTCCTAGAGGCAAGTTCTGGAATGAGTCACAGGGAAAGCAGTATGGTGGTAGCCTAAGGGTCTCTTATCAAATTAGTCTGGCTACATGGCAAGCTCTGGGGTGAACTCATAAATCATCAACTTTTGTTGATGATACAAATGGTAGTCATAGATGATTTATGCTTCAAGGTGTAAAGCAATGAAAGGGGTATTTCAGGAAGAAGGAGGAGGAGGAGAAGGCGGAGAAAGAAATCAAGGAGAAGAACATCTTGGAATAGATCAGGTAGCAAGGTAACCATAAAGGCATTATACACCTTAGCATGTCCATCAGATCAAAAGAGATACAGCATGCCAAGTACCCAGCACAGCTCCTGGCACTCAACCACTAGTTCTCTTCCGCTTGCATAGAGATTTTACAGTTTACAAAGTTCTTTTGCATACATTAAGGCTTCCCTTGATCAAAAACCTTCTGAATCAATTATTTCCCCCCAGTAGTGACTTGACCCCTCCAAAGTAGCACATAAGAAATACTGCAAGGCTGAGAGTCATACTAACATCTTCAGATACCCCTTTACCCCAGATCCTTCTATAGTCTTGTCCTAGATTTAAGATTGTGAAGGCCTGTATTACAGTGACAACAGTTGAACAGAAATATAAGAATGATCTGTGAGCTTCTGGGTAGCTGAAATTCTTGGGGCCTTATTATTACATCCTTATTTGTAAAAGAAAAGTACTACATTTTTTTCTATTCCAAGACACATATATTGTTATATGTAAAATTTCTCTCTCTTTTTTTTTTTCTCATAGTGTTGGGGATTGAACCCAGACTGCTAGGCAAGCATTCCACCACCGGGTTACATCCCCAGCCCAATATCTCTTAAATTTGAGATATAATTTACAACGGATGGTGTTTTACAGGTCTGTCCAGTGATGTAGTTTAGTTATTTGTTCATGCACAAACATGGTTGCTATTCCTGGTGAAACAAACAGATAACTTAAATCCGTGGACATTTAAGTTTGTTGACTTAACAGTTGTGTAAGGACTGTGAATTCTATTGTTGTCTGAAAACCTTCCATTGACACCTTCTAAGATCAAGAAAGCACCAGCATCAAAACTTGAAGAATGGAAGCAGAGCACTTCCTTAATAGACACAGGCCCCAGGTTTGATCCCCAGTACCACAAAAAACAAGCAAGCAAACAAATACAGCTTGATGAATGGATACCAGAGATTTGTAAGAAAACCTCAGAAAAAAAATAGTAGAGACCTCCTTGAGGAATGTGGCATAAAACAGTGGGTTTCTTTATTTTTTGTTTAATTTTGAGACAGGGTCTCGCTTAGTTGCTTAGGGCCTTGCTAAGTTGCTGAGGCTGGTTTTGAACTTCTGATCCTTCTGTCTCAGCCTCTTGAGCCTCTGGGATTACAAGTGTCTGTTATCCTGCCCAGCTGCTTTACCATTGAGATGCATTCCCAGCCCTTTTGTTTATTATTTATTTTTGATGGGCTTTGTTGTTACATATTTATAGGTGCACACAAAATAACAATATAAGTTGGCCAATATCACTTCAGAGCTCAGCCCTTTTCAATTTTTATTTTGAGAAAGTGTCTCTCTAAGTTGCAAAGGATGGCCTCAAAATTGTGATCTTTCTGCCTTAGTCTCTTGAGTTGCTAGGATTACAGGCCTGCACCTCCTCAGATCTCTTTTTTTAATATTTACTTTTTAGTTTTTCAGCGGACACAACATCTTTATTTGTATGTGGTGCTGAGGATCAAACCCTGGCCGCACGCATGCCAGGCGAGCGTGCTACTGTTTGAGCCACATCCCCAGCCCCCTCATCAGAACTCTTGATAGCACTGGTAAGACTGTGTGAAAACTACCGACATCAATGAGTCAGTCAAAGTGATTCAGACCAGGTAAAGTGGTGCACACCTGTCATCCCAACTACTTGGGAGACTGAGGCAGGAGAATTGTGAGCCTTGACAAGTTAGCAAAATCCTATCTCAAAAAAAAAAAAAAAGCCAGGCACCATGGTGCATGCTATAATCCCATTGGCTGGGGAGGTGAGGCAGGAGGATCATGAGTTTAAGGTCAGCCTTAGCAATTTAGTGAGGCACTAAGCAACTCATTTAAAGACTTGTCTCAAAATTTAAAAAAATAAAAAATAAAAAAGGGTCGGGGATGTGGCTCAATGGTAGAATGCCCCTGGGTTCAATCCCCAGTAACTAACACACACACACACACACACACACATACACACACACTCAAATACAAAGTAATTCAGGTCAGGTATAGTGGCACATAGTTCTAGCTACTTGGGAAGTTGAGACAAGAGGATTGCCAAGTTCAAGTTCAGATTGGGGAATTTAGGGAGACCGCCTCAAAAACCAAAACAAAACAGAAAAAGGGATTCAGAAGACAAACTTTGAATATAAAGACATTTAGAGCTAACTAAACTGAGTTATTTCCTTTATATTTACCTTTTATTAATGCACAAGTGTGATATATGAAAAAAGTCAAAGTCTATAAGTCTATAGAAAAGAAACTCAGTGATAGAGTGAGTGCTTAGCATTCATGAGCCCCTAGGTTTGATCCCAGCAACACACACACAAACACAAATTAAAAAGACAATATGTATAAATAAATCTTAATAAGCTCTTTCAATAAGGACTGAGTGATAAAAAACAACAACAACACTGTGTCATAGATTAACTTGCAGCATTTTAATTTTTTTAATTTGTTCTAATTAGTTATACATGACAGTAGAATGCATCTGACACCTCATACATAAATAGAGTATAACTTCTCATTCCTCTGGTTGTACATGATGTAGAGTTACAAGGTCATGTAATCATATATGCACATAGGGTCATAATGGCTGAATCATTTTACTGTCCTTTCTATCCCCATGCCACATCCTCTCCCTTCACTCCCCTGTGTCTAGTTACAGCATTTTTTAAAATTTGTATGGCCTTATAAGCAGTTATGTCTTAGATTCAATGAGAATAGTCATATTATATGTGCATGAATGCTTTACAGTTTAAATAGTTAGCTCATTTTGATCATCAAAATAACCTTGTGATATTCATACCAAATTATATCCCCAATTTTACCTGTGAAAAAAGTAAGGCAGATTAGTTACTCAAATACCATAGAGTCAGGATTCAGTCCTCTAGAATAAACCTAAAATCCTTTTTTCCTCTAAAATGTCAAGGTTTGCATCAATCTTAGAACTAGTGCTTTTTTTCTTTTTCTTTTTCTTTCTTTTTTTTTTTTTTTTAAAGAGAGGAGCATATCTAGTGAGATTGACTATAACTGTTCAGAATGAACATGGAACATGCCACCCTCTTGGCAAGAAAAGTGAATTTTCAGGATTTTAACAATAACAAATTACTATTACAAACAGCCTACTACTGTGCCTAGTAATAAAAGGTATTAAGTAAATAAGAGGAGTTATGTTATTAAGAGTAATTAATGTTGGCTACCCCAGCAGCTGAACCCTGAATTCTCAGTGGCTTAAATAACAAAACTGCATATTGCACATGTCATGTATCTAGCAGGTTGGCAAGCAGCTAAGCTGCATGTTGCTATGCTCCTTACCTTCACTCCTGTTATGGTTTGAATGCCTGTGATCCCTCTGAATTTATGTTGGAACTTCATCAATGTAACAGTATTAAGAAGATAGGCCTTTAGAAGGTGATGAAGTCATGTACCCTTGTGAATGGAATTGATACCTTATAAAAGACACTTCACACAGTGTATCTATCTCCTTTTTGCCCTTCTATCCCCTCTGCCATGTGAGGACAAGGAGCCATCTTGGAAGCAGAGACCCAGCCCTCACCAGACACCATGCCTATGTCACCTTATTTCTATACTTCTCAGCCTCCAGGGCGGTAAATAGATTCCTTCCTTCCTTCCTTCCTTCCTTCCTTCCTTCCTTCCTTCCTTCCTTCCTTCCTTCCTTCCTTCCTTCCTTCCTTCCTTCCTTCCTTCCTTCCTTCCTTCCTTCCTTCCTTCCTTCCTTCCTTCCTTCCTTCCTTCCTTCCTTCCTTCCTTCCTTCCTTCCTTCCTTCCTTCCTTTTTTAAAGGAGCACTTAACCAATGAGCCATATCTCCAGCTCATGTTTTAATATTTTATTTAGAGACAGGGTCTCCCTAAGTTCCTTACAGCCTCACTAAGTTGTTGCTGAGGCTGGCTTTGAACTTGTAATCCCCCTGCCTCTGTCTCCCCAGCATGTGCCACTGTGCCTGGCAAAATATAGATTTCTCTGTGTTTTGGGGGGGTACTAAAAGTACTGGGATTGAACCCTGGGGCATTTAACCACTGAACCACAACCCTAGCCCTCCCCTCTCCCTTTTATACTTCATTTAGAGACAGGGGCTCCCTACATTACTTAGTGCCTTACTAAGTTGCTTAGGCTGACTTTGGACTTAGGATCCTCCTGTCTCAGCCTTCCAAGCCACCATGATTACAGGCATGTGCCACCATGCCTAGCTGACAAATAGATTTCACTATTTCTTAATGACTCAGTCTTAACTTTTCTTTCTTTCTTTTTTTTTTTTTAATATCAGCACAAACAGACTAATACAGAAATTGATATCAAGAGTAGCATGTCAGGCTGGGGATGCAGCTCAGTTGGTAGAGTGCTTACCTCAAATGCACCCTGGGTTCAATCCCCGGCAACACACACACACACACACACACAAGAGTGGCATGTTGCCAGGCATGGTGGTGCACACCTGTAATCCCAGTGTCTCCGGAGGCTGAGGCAGGAGGTTCACAAATTCAAAGCCAGCCTCAGCAACTTAGCGAGGCCCTAAGCAACTCAATGAGACCCTATCTCTAAGTAAAATACAAAAATAAAACAAAAGGCTGGGGATGTGGCTCAGTAGTTGTGGGCCCCTGAATTCAATCCCCAGTACCAAAAAAAAAAAAAATGGTATGTGGCAGAACCAGGTGGTGATGCACGCCGGTAATCCCAGCAACTCAGGAGGCTGAAACAGGAGGATCACAAGTTGGAGGCTAGCCTAGGCAATTTAGTGAGAACCTGTCTAAAATAAAAGTAAAAGAGGATAAGATATAGCTCAGTAGTAGAATGCGCCTGGATCCAATCCCCAGTAACCGTCTCTGAACACACAAAAGAAAAAAAAAAGTGGTTTGTTTGCTAACAAATACCAAAAATGTAGAAGCAGCTTTGAAATTGGGCAATGGGTGGAAACTGGAAGAGTTTGGAGGTACATGCTATAAAAAACCTAGGTCATCATGAACACAGCATTAAGGACAATTCAGGTGGGGCGCAGATGATGAGAGCTGTAGAGAGAGCCCAGATCTCCTTAGAGATTACTTAAGTGATTGGGATGAGAACATTAGTAGAAATACAGACAATAAAAACCATTTTGATGAGGTCATAGGTGAAAAACAAAGTCCTTGAAACTGGAAGAAAGGCCATTATTGTTATAAAATGACAATGAACTGGGTCTGGGGTTGTGGCTCAGCAGTAGAGCACTTGCCTCACACTGTGAGGCACTGGGTTTGATTCTCAGCACCACATAAAAATAAATAAAAACAAAATAAAGGAATTGTGTCCATCTAAAACTAAAAAAAAAAAAAAAAGACAATGAACTTAGCTGAATGCTTTGTGGAAGCAGAACTTGTAAGCAATGAAACTAGGATATTTGATGAAAAATATCTTTTTTTTTTTTTTTTTTGGTACTAGTGATCGAAACCTTTCTTATTTTTTGAGATGGGATCTCATTAAGTTGCTTAAGACCTTGCTAAATTGCTGAGGCTTGCCTCCAACTTGTGATCCTCCTGCCTCAACCTCCTGAGTCGCTGGAATTATGGGCTTCTGCCAGGATGCCCAGATAATGGAAGAAATATCTAAGGAAAGGACTGAGGAGACTGCATGGCTTCTTTTGACTGCTTATAGTGAGATAGGGATTTGGGGATACAGAAAAGGGAAGGAAAGATAAGCTGACCCACTGAAATGCAGGAAACGCCCATGAACCTTTGGAACTCCTAAGCAACCCAGACCACTCCTTCGGCCTGCACCCTTGACCCCATGCTCTTACCTGCAAAACATAAGGGTAATACGCAAGCAGAGGAAAAACTGACATGAAATTGTGAAACTCTGCCCTGATTTTACTTCTAGTCCAGCCCCTAAACTGTCCTCTACAAATCTTACCCTATCCACCAAATACACCCATAGCAAGGGGTTGTTCTCTATCTCTCTGGAGATAGCTCACATTCCTTGTTTTACCCCCAAAGCTACTCATTCTTGAGATAGCCCACATTCTCCCTTGGATGTATCTCTCCTAAATAAACCTTTGTGTCTCTGACTGGTTACATGCTAAAATTCTTTTTTGTCACATATGCCAAACACCCTGTTTTCCTCAGTTGAGGTCTCTGGGAAATCCTTGGACCTCCTGTGACAATAGTAAAATGTGAGAAGATAAAAAATTAAAGATGGAATTTATGATTAAAAGAGAACCGATGTGATTCTGCAATCTGTATTTGGGGTAAAATTGGGAGTTCATAACCAACTTGAATCTAATGTATGAAATATGATATGTCAAGAGCTTTATAATGTTTTGAACAACCAATAAAAAAAATTAAAAAAAAAAAAGATACCTTAAAAAAAAAAAAAAAAAAAAAAAAGAGAGAAGCCGAATTTAAAGATCTGGAAAATTCTTAGCTTGGTGGAATTGTAAAAGCCTGCTTAAGACAGAGTACCAAGGGTTTGGTCCCAACAACCATTTGATAAGGAGATTAGTACGGCTAGAATGAGGCCAAATGCTATTCATCAGGACAAAGGAAGAATGACTCTGAGGCATTTCAGAGATTTCTGAGGCTGCCAGTGGCATCACAGGCAGAGTTCTAGGGCCTTGAGGGCAGAATGTGTTCAAAGGAGAGGCCTGTAGGCCAAAGGGGGCCTAGAGGCTCCGCCCCCTGCATTCCACTACAGCACTCCTTGACCATTCGAGGTTCTAGCTGGCCCAGGTATGCTTCATGCTGCCCTTTAGAAAGTTGAGTGATAAACTTTGGCAGTGTCCTTGTTGGGCCAACTCTGTATGTATGCAGGGTATAAGAGCTGCAGAGGTTGCTGCTTCCACCTAGACATCAAAGGCTGTCAGAGAGCCTTGAGGCTTAGGCAGAGAACTGAGTCAAGGCATGGCAGCCACAGAGAGCCCCCACCAGGGCAATGCCCAGCAGAGCAGTAGGGTCAGGGCCACTGCTGAGAGCCCCTATAAAACAATGTCTAGAGGAGTCACAGGAGACTCAAAAACTGAGACTCAAAAACTATAGAACCATATGACGCAGCACCAGCCGAGAGAGGCACAGCCATCCAACTCTTACTCCTAGGATCTGCAGCACGGGCTGAACCCAGAGTAGTGGAGGTTTGGCTGCCTAAGGCCTTAGGAGCACAATCTCTGCTCCAGTGTGTCCAGAAAGTGGGACACAGAGTCAAAGAAGGTTGTTATCCAGCCTCAAGATTTAATGTTGTTTAATGTGGGTTTTGGACTTCCTTGGGACCTGTTATCCCTTCTTCTTGACTGTTACTATTTTGGGGAATGGGAATGTCTATCTTATGCCTATCTTTTGGAAGCACATAACTTGCTTGACTTCATGCTCACAGCTGGAGAAGAATTTGCCTTAGGATTAATCATACCTTGAGTCTCATGTGATTTAGAAGATATTTGAATGAGACTTTGAACTCAGACCTTAAGTTAAGACTTTTGGGATTACTAGGATGGAATGAATATTTCATATGTGAGAAGGACATCAATTTTGGAGGATGAGGGATGGAATGCTATGGTTTGAATGTTTGTGCCTCCTCCAAAATTCATGTTGAAACTTAATTCCCACTGCAACAGTATTCCGAGGTGGAGCCTTAAGAGGTGATTAGGCCATGATTCACTAATCATGAATGGATCGGTGCCTTATAAAAGGGCTTGAGAGGGCAAGTTTGTACCTTTGGTCCCTTCTTGTCTCCTCCAGAAGATGCAGCAATAAGGTGCTGTCTTGGAAGCAGAGAGCTGCCCTTACTAGATACCAAAACTTTTGCACCTTGATCATGGACTTCTCAATTTCCAGAACTGTGAGAAATAAATTTATATTATTTGGAAATTACCCAGATATTTTGTTTTAGCAGCACAAATGAATTAAAAAACTCAGTAACCATGATGACTCAGACTATACCTTGAAACTGAACCAAACAGAACATGTAATCTCAGAGGTTGTTGACAGGGAAAAAGGTTAGAGGGAGCACAATAATTTATACTTCCTCAGCTTGAAAAATGATATATGTTACTTCCTTCACAGGTCATTAGCCAGTTGTAATCACACTAACTGCAAGAAAGGCTGGGTAAAGCAAGGAACAGTGGAATATTTGGTGAGTACTGTCTATGGTATAGTAGTCCTTGAATTATCTCCTTGAGGGGAAAAATCTGTGTTACTTATTGCTATTTCCATAAATCTAGAAAAAGTGCCTGATGTGGTGCTTGCCAATAATTGTTGAATCAAAAATAAATGAATAGAGGCTGGGATTGTGGCTCAGTGGTAGAGCACTTATCTTGCAAGTGTGAGGCAGTAGGTTCAATACTCAGCACCACATAAAAAACATACATAAATAGGGCTGGGGTTGTGGCTCAGTGGTAGAGTGCTCGCCTAGTACAAGTGACGCACTGGGTTTGATCCTCACCACCGCATAAAAATAAATAAAGATATTGTGTCCACCTACAACTAAAAAATGAATATTAAAAAATATACATAAATAAAAGGTATTGTACCCATCAATAGCTAAAAAAAATCAATGAATGGCATATAAAGTTGATTTTCTAGAAGTATTCTGAATAGTTTCTGGATAGAATTAAATACTCAAGTTCGGTTAATGTTTCAACTAGAGTTAACAAAAAGAAAGTATTTTATTAAGAATTTATTTGAGGGGCTAGGGTTGTGGCTCAGTGGCAGAGTACTTGCATCAAATGTGTGAAGCACTGGTTTTGATTCTCAGCACCAAGTATAAATAAAAAAAGTTGTATCAGCAACTAAAGGTTAAAAAAAAAAAAGAATTTATTTGAAGCTGGGTGTGGTGGTAAATGCCTGTAATCCTAGCAATTTGGGAGGCTGAGGCAGGAGGATTGTAAATTCTAGGCCAACTTCAGCAACTTATTTGAAGTTGTTGAATTCATTCTCAAATGTAGTTACAGATTACATGAAATCTTTTTTATGGGAGGCTAGTGGCTTTTATTTTTTATTTATTTTTAAATTTTGTAATATTTATTTTTTAGTTCTCGGCAGACATAACATCTTTGTTTGTATATGGTGCTGAGGATCGAACCCGGGCCGCACGCATGCCAGGCAAGCGCACTACCGCTTGAGCCACATCTCCAGCCCGGCTAGTGGCTTTTAAATTTTACTTTATTCTTTTTTTTTTTTTTTTTTTTGAGATAGGATCTAAGTCACTGAGGTTGGCTTTGAACTTGTGATTCTCCTGCCTCAGTCTCCCAAGTAGTTGGGATTACAGGCACACATCACTACACCTAGCCCTTGGTTTTTAATAGGGAATGTAGGCATGAACAATATTGTAATAATTCATATGGCATTGGTTACACAGAACTAAGTACCAAGTGATATGGAATGACAAACTGTGGGACTATCCTGGTTTGAGCAATAGGAAAGTAGGGTCGAAAAGATCTCTCCCTGATAGACCCAACCTGATCTTTTCTTAAAATTGGGAGCCATCTCGCCACAAAGTCATGAAAAGATAATTTCAGCTTTACTATAAATTACTGCAAATTCTGAACCTGCTTGGAATGCCTGCCCGTGCCTTGAACTCACCCATGCCTGGCTCTCTGACCAGACAGCAGCCCTCTCTGAAACTTTAGTGAGGCCTCACAAATCTTGGCCTTCCCTGGCCAGATAAAGACCCTCTCTGAGGTTCTAATGACCTTCATAAATTCTGATGTCGGGGCCAGCAAAAAGTCAGAGTTCTGTTATCTGTAACCCCCCTTTGTGTAACTTTCTGGGCTATAAAGCTGGGCTGCAGGAAAGCTGCGGGGGCTGTCTTGTTCCCGTGGTTTTGGGTGGGAGAGGCAGCCCGGCCGGTCGAAATAATAAGCTTGCTTTAATTTGATTTTAATTGGAGTCAGTGGTCTTTTCTTGCGTCCTGGTCTAACACCCAAATTTAATGTTTCAATTTAAACCAAAAGAATAAGGAGGATTTGGCAATGGAAAAGTGAAGAGAAAAGAATTCCACAATGAGGGACTAGCACGTTCTCGTAGTTGGAGGATGAATACCCGCAGGATACATGCCTAGTTATATAGCAGGAGAAGTTGTAGAAAAAAACAACTTGTTCAAGGGACACTGTTTAACAAACAACTTAATTAGGACCATAGGTCATATTCTTAACCTTTCAGGACAGAGCACACAATTTTCTCTTAAGGTAGACTTTCCTGACTCAAATAGTAGCTGAGCCAGTTATTTCTGTAGCCCATCAGGAATACCAACCAACCATGAGCTAGACTGATGTAAGAGATACCAATTTACAGCCTGTTTCAGAGCAAGCAGGATGAGAACTAAAGAGCCCTAAATGGCTCTGATGCAGGAAGAGGGTGGGGCATAGTGGTAGAGGGGGAAGATTCTTTGGTGAAAGCCAAGCGCTAAAAGCAGCTGCCTGTGACATTTCCGTCAGCAGCCTTTCCTCCCTCCCTCATTGTGTATGAGACACACATCAGATGTTCTGGTTTATGATTTCAGTTTCAGAGCACAAACGCTCTGAGATCCAGGCTCACATACTTCTCATTGTGGCCTGCTCATTAACTGGGTTCTAAAGCCCATCCAAGACTGACAACAATATTGGGACCCCTTTCTCCTACTCCTAAGGAAATGTGGAAACTTGTGGATTGGTTGAGCCTCAGATCTCAGGTGCCTAGTCTCTATCTTTGCTAGAAAGTGATGACGTACAGCCTACCAAATAGATACTGCACAGATGTCAGAACCATTTCAGAACACAAGGTCATGTACAGCTATTACCTTCCCCCATTGATATCAACACTAAAGATAACCTGTTCTCTTTCCTTTAGAAGACACAGCAGAAGCTAACCCTTGGAGGTCTGAGGTAAGCACCACTGTCTCTGTTAGGTGGAGCAGACTAGGGAGGGTCAACTCTTTACTTTTTAGTGTTGTGTTTACTTCCCAAGCAAATAAAAGTAGAAAAATCTATTATTTATGGAGAAGATAATAAAAGAATGCTCTTAAAAAGCTTTTGCTTCTTTGATTAAAAGCACAGATCTTGATTTGACTGAGATATCAGTAAGTGAAAAGACATGGTTACACACCGATGAATCTTTAAAACTTTAAAAGTTCCTAATATTCTGATCATTTAAAATATGTTAAAGATTTCTGTTAAGAGTTGGTATTTGGAAGCTTCCAAAATGCTAGGTCATATTATTTCTCAGATTATTTCCACATATTATCTCATGTGATTATAAAAACTATTGTAAAATTAACATCAACAAATTTTAAGACCAAATTACAATGATGTTAACAACAATCTGGTTTTTTTTAAAATATTTTATTTACATTTTAGTTTTCGGCAGACACAACATCTTTGTTTGTATGTGGTGCTGAGGATCGAACCCAGGCCGAGCACATGCCAGGCGAGCGCGCTACCGCTTGAGCCACATCCCCAGCCCCAACAATCTGGTTTTTAAAAAATATTTATTTTTAGTTATAAGTGGGCACAATATCTTTATTTTATTACTATGTGGTGCTGAGGATCGAACCCAGTGCCTCACGGAGGCTAGGCGAGTGCTCTATCACTGAGCCATGGCCCCAGCCCAACAATCTGTTTTAATCTAATTGGTAGCAGTGCCTGAGCACAAGAATGCTTTCTTTATAATTGAACACCACATTAAATGAGTTCTGTGTCAGAATTCTTTTTTTTTTTTTAATCCTCTATTAGTTCTTTCTTTATTCATTTTTATGTGGTAATGAGGATAGAACCCAGTGCCTTACATGTGCTAGGCAAGCACTCTATCACTGAGCTACAACCCCCACCCTCAGAATTCTTTTCTTTTTCATTTTTTATATGTTATTTTTAGATACACATGACAGTATTTTGCAATATTATACATATGTGGAGTATAACTTCCCATTCTTATGGCTGTATATGATGTGGAGTTATACCTGTTGTGCCTTTATATATGAACATAGGAAAGTTATATCTGATTCATTCTACTGTTTTTCCTATTCCCATCCTCCCTTCCCTTCATTCCCCTTTGTCTTATCAATGAGCTTCTATCCACCCCCCTTATTGTGTTAGCATTTGCATATCAGAGAGAACCAGAATTCTTTTTATAACCAAGTATTAGATCCAATTTTGGATGATTTGAATGATGGGTAGGCTTTGGAAGGAGCATGTTAAAAGTTCATATCATAGTTTCTTAGTCCATATTATTTCTCAAGCCACATAAGTGTATGTCTGAGGTAGTAATTACATTTTTTTTTTCCATGCATGCTATGCAAGTGCTCTACCACTGAGCTTCATCCCCCACCCCATAACTGTTTAGTTTTATTTTTTGCATTTTTTTGGTATTAGGTATTTGACCCACTGAGCCACATCCCAGCCCGTGTTTTATTCTTTTTGAGACAGGGTCTTGCTGAGCTGCTTAGGCCCTTGCTGAGTTGCTGAGGCTGGCTTTGAACTCATGATTCTTCTGCTTCAGCCTCCCAAGCTGCTGGGATCACAGGCATGTGTCACCATGCCTGGCTATATGTAGCTTCTTTGTTTTTTAGCTTTTGGCAAATGCTAATTCAAAAACTGGAAAAAAAGCTATGTTCCTATGTTATCTAAATTACTTCTTTTCAGGGTGGGGATGTAGATCAATGGCAGAGTGCTTGAGGCCCATAGTTCAATCCCGAACACTGCAATAAAAAACAAAACAACAACAAAACAATCAACAAAAGAACTCCCAAAACTTCTTTTCTCTTTTCGAGTTGGAACACTGTTGCCAGCTACTACATTATATATAAGTAGGAAGGAAGAAATATGAGCCGAGGATCTTGGGAATTAGAAAATTCAACACTTTTGGATTTTAAACACTATCTATATGACATTGGATATATCTGAACTTTTTCTTCTGTAAAATAAAGAAGTTGGATTAAATTATTTCTAACCCATTCTTTAGTTTGAATTTTCTGATTCATCTGACAAGCAAACTCTCCTCTTTTTTTGTCCTTGTTGTATGTAGAACGCTCAATCATTTTCAATTTTTAAAAAAAATCACCACAGATGCTTAAAATAAAATAGCTCTCTCCCTCTCTATAGAATGTCTGCCCCTCTCCTCAGGTAGTCATGATACCACTTAAAAATTATTTTAAAACATCCAAATAAAAAAACAAAGAAGAAAATAAATGCTATCCTATGGGCATAACTCCACTACTGAGGGACGAACCTCCTTCACATTTGAAGTTATAATCTTTTGTTATTACAGGGTATGTGTGAGTTTCTGGGAATTTAATCCAGGAGTGCTCTACCACTGAGCTATATCCTTAGTCCTTTTTTTTTTTTTTAAGAGAGAGAGATAATTTTTTAATATTTATTTTTTAGTTTGTATCTTTGTTTGTATGTGGTGCTGAGGATCGAACCCAGGCCGCACGCATGCCAGGCGAGCAAGCTACCGCTTGAGCCACATCCCCAGCCCTCCTTAATCCTTTTTTAGTTGGTGATAGTGTCTCACTAAATTGCTGAGGCTGGCCTTGAATTAGCGATCCTCAGGCCTCAGCCTCTCAAATTATTGGGATTACAGGCCTGTGCCACCACACCAGGCATATTAGCATTTTAAAAATTTTTTAAAAATGGTTCATTAGAATTGTATGTAATAGCAGAATTTGTTGTTGGATCAAACCCAGGGTCTCCCACATAGTAGGCAGGTGCTCTACCCCTGAGCTACATCCTAGGCCCCTAATATTACTTTTTTTTTTAATTCCTGGGATTGAACCCAGGGGTGCTTAACCACTGAGCCACATTTTCAGCCCTTTCTATTTTTTATTTTGAGACAGGGTCTCACTAAATAGCTTTGGGCCTTGCTAAATTGCTCAGATTGACTTTGAATGTATGGGACAGCCTCAATCTCCTGAGCTGCTGGGAATCCAAGTGTGCGCCACTGCATCTATCTCTCATATTATATCTGTGGTCATAATTTTATACATATTTTCTTTAAAAAACAAAATTGTTGACTGGGCATGGTGGCAGACACCTGTAATCCCAGCAATTTGGGAGGCTCAGGGAAGAGGATTATGAGTTTGAAGCCAGCTGGGCAATTTAGCAAGACCCTATTTGAAAATGAAAAAAGATTGGGGATATGGGGATATAGTTCAGTGGTAGAGTGCCCTGGGTTCAGGATGGTGCCACACACACAAAAAAAAAAGTCATCACTTCGCATTTAGTGTTTTAAAACCTGAATTACTTACAACACATCATAAACATTTTCTTTACACTCTTTTAAAGCATGATTACTTTTTTTTTTTTTTTTTGGTACCAAGGAGAATTGACCTAAAGACACTTTACCATTGAGTTACATCCCCAGGTCCATTTTTTAAAAATATCTTTATTTTATTTATTTATTTTTATGTGGTGCTGAGGATTGAATCCAGTGCCTCATGCATGAGAGGCAAGCGCTCTACCACTGAGCTACAACCCCAGCACCCCCAGTCCTTTTCATTTTTATTTTGGAATAGGGTCTAAATTGCATAGGTCCTCCCTAAATTTCGAAGGTTGACTTTGAACTTGATATCCTTCTGATTTAGCCATTTAGTCTCTGAGTAGCTGGGATTATAGGTGTGTACCACCTTGCTGGGATATTTTGGTTTTCAAATCCAAAACCTATCAGTTTTAAGGCTCTATTCTGGTGTACTTTTCCCATCGATATTTAGGTAAAAACTGAATTGGGGAACTGATTGCAATATAGATTCTCAGGAGTTTCCCAGAAAAATAAATAAAAACAACCAGATACAAGTGGTTTTACATTGAGCAACTCTATGTAAAATGTTACAACAGTGCCTGGCACAGAGGACATGCCTTATTAGCTGCTATTTATCATCATCATTATTATCCTGACACCTACCACTTTGAAATAATCAACAAGTTATTTATTAGTCATATGCATATATCTATATAAATCAGGTTGTAAGAAATTTAGTGATGCTTTAAGATGTGTGTGTGTATTTTTTTTTTTTTGTACAAGGTATTGGACCCAGAGGTACTTTATCACTGAGCCATATCCCCAGCCCCTTTCTTTCTTTTTTAAAAAATAATTATTTTTTAGAAGTAGTTGGACACAATACCTTTATTTTGTATATTTATTTTTATGTGGTACTGAAGATCGAACCCAGGGCCTCACATGTGCTAGACAAGAGCTCTGCCACTGATCCACAATCCCCTCCCTCCCTCCCTCCTTTCCTTCCTTCCTTCCTTCCTTCCTTCCTTCCTTCCTTCCTTCCTTCCTTCCTTCCTTCCTTCCTTTTTTTTTTGAGACAAAAATCTTTTTTAAGTTGCTAAGGGTCTCACTAAATTGCTGAGGCTGGCCTCAAACTTGTGATCCTCCTGGCCTCAAACTTGTCAGCCTCCGAAGTCTCTAGGATTACAGGTGTGCACCAAGGCACAATGATACATTTTGATGAAAAAAAATAGAAAATCAAAATTTTACAGAAAATTCAGTTTCCTATCATAATGTCCTTTGTCAGTTCAACCAGAGCCCTGCATCAAAGGTTAAGAAAAGTTCATAGCACACTGTTTTCCAAATAAATTAAAAACAGAAACCACTAATATGTAAGATAGTAAATGAAATTAATTACACAGTAATATAATGTATTGCTTTTCAACAATTCTGGTGTCTCATTAACTGGACCAAACTCCACATTTTTGTTTTTGTTTGTTTGAGAAAAAGAAAAAAGAAGTTTCACTGCTTTGCTAGCAAAGGAGAAACACAGGACTCTTGTCCCAGGGGCTATGTCCACAGGTATTTTGAATGTTAAGAATCAAGGTTCAAAGGGAAATCGGACATTTGAATGAGAGCCTATCCTATGGAGGAACCAATCTCCTTTATAAATTTTTTT